GAGGCATGCCCTGGCTGCATGCTTGATTATAAGGGGGGGTTACCACACCTGCGTGGAGGGCCAGAGTCTAAAAGTTGAATAGGTGTGAGCGTGGCCCTCTTTTCGGGGCAACTTTTGCCCCTCTGTCAGGGTGGGGCCGGGAATTCGCAGACTCTGGACCTGCATCCGAACGTGGAACGCGCTCGGAAAAGGGCGTAAACGGAGTCCTGCGCGGAGGATCACCATCTCAAAGAAGAGTAGGTGTGTCCGTGTGGCCCTCTTTTCGGGGCAAATTTTGCCCCTATGTCAGAGTGGGGTCGGGAAATCGCGGCCCCAGGGCAAGCCCCGTCCGTCGGAACGCGCTCGGAATGTTCGGAAATGGAGGCCTGCACGGAGGGACAGCGTCTCAAAGAGGACTAGGTGTGTCCACGTGGCCCTCTTTTCGGGGCGACTTTTGCTCCTCTTTCAGGTTGGGGCCGGGAAATTGCGGCCTTTGGGCGGGCGTCTGACCATCGAAACGAGGTTGGCACAGGCAGAAACGGTGGCCTGCACGGAGGGACAGCGTCTCAAAGAATACTAGGTGTGTCCGCGTGGCGCTCTTTTTGGGGCAACTTTTGCATCTCTGTCAGAGTAGGTCTGGGAAATCGCGGCCCCTGGGCGGGCCTCCGACCGACGGAACGTGCTTGGAACGTGTGGAAACGGAGGCCTGCGCGGAGGGACAGCGTCTCAAAGAAAACTAGGTGCGCGTGCTTCACTCCCATTTCGGGGCAACTTTTGCCCCTCTGTCAGCATGGGGCCGGGAAATCGCGGACTCCGGGCGGGCCTCCGTCGGTCGGAACACACTCGGACGGGTGGAAACTGAGGCCTGCATGGGGCACAGCGTCTGAAAGAGGACTAGGCTTTCCGCGTCGCCCTATATTTGGGGCAACTTTTGCCGCATTATCATGGTTGTGTCCGGAAATCGCGGCGTCCTGGCGTGCATCCGAGCGTAGAACGCGCATGGAACGGGCCGAAACGGAGTCCTGCGCTGAGGGACAGCAACTCAGAGAGGACAAGCAGTGCCCACGTGCCCCTCTTTTCTTGGCAACTTTTGACCCTCTGTCAGAGTGGGGCCAGGAAATCGCGGCCTCCGGGTGGGCCTCCGACTGTTGGAACGCACTCGGAACAGGCAGAACGGAGGCCTGAGCGGAGCGACAACGTCTCAAAGAAAACAAGGTGCGCACCCATCGCCCTGTTTTCCGGGCAACTTTTGCTCCCCTGTCAGGGTGGAGCTGGGAAATCAAGGCCTCCGGGCAGGCCTCCGACCGTCGGAACGCGATCGGAATGGGTGGAAATGGAGGCCTGCGTGGAGGGACAGCGTCTAAAAGTTGACTAGGTTTCCGCGTGGCCCTCTTTTCAGGGCAACTTTTGCTCCTCTGTCAGGGTGGGGCTGGGAAATCGAAGCCTCCGGGCCTGCATCCGAACGTGGAACGCGCTCGGAATGGGCGGAAACGGAGTCCTTCGCGGAGGGACACCATCTCAAAGAAGTCTAGGTGTGTCCACGTGGCCCTCTTTTTGGGGCAAATTTTACAACTCTGTAAGAGTGGGGCCGGGAAATCGCAGCCCCAGGGCGGGCCCCGTCCGTCGGAACGTGCTCAGAATGGGCGGTAATGAAGGCCTACGCAGTGGGACAGTGTCTCAAAGAGGACAAGGTGTGTCTGCTTCTCCCTCAATTCGGGGCAACTTTTTCCTCTCTGTCAGGGTGGGGCCGGGAAATCGCAGCCTTCGGCGGGCCTCCGACCCGCGATCGGTACAGGCAGAAACGGAGCCCTGCATGTAGGGACAGCGTCTCAAAGAGGACCAGGTGTGTCTGCTTCTCCCTCAATTCGGGGCAACTTTTTCCCCTCTGTCAGAGTGGGGACTGGAAATCACGGCCTCAGGGCGGGCCTCCGACCGTTGGAAAGCGCTCGGAATGTGCGGAAATGGAGGCCTGCGCGGAGGGACAGCCTCTCAAAGAGGACTAGGTGTATCTACGTTGCCCTCTTTTCGGGGCAACTTTTGCCCCTCTGTCAGTTTGGGGCCGGAAAATCGCAGCCTTTGGGAGGGCCTCCGAATTTCGGAACGCACTCGGAACATGCGGAAACGGAGGCCTGCGCAGCGGGGCAGCGTATGAGAGATGACTAGGCGTGTACGCTTCTCCCTCTCTTTGGGTTAATTTTGCCACTCTGTCAGGGAGGGGCCAGGAAATCGCAGCCTTCGGGCGAGCCTCCGACCGTCGCAACGCGGTCGGTACAGGCAGAAACGGAGGCCTGTGCGGAGGGACAGCCTCTCAAAGAAAACTAGGTGTGCGTGCGTCTCCCCTCTTTCGGGGCAAGTTTTGCCCCTCTGTCAGGGCTGTGCCGGGAAATCGCGGCCTCCGGGCGTGCCTCCGACCATCGGAACGCTCTCGGAATGGGTGGAAACGGGGCCCTGCCTCGTGGGAGAGCGTCTCAAAGAGGACTAGGAGTGTCCGCTTTTCCCTCTATTCGGGGCAACTTTTGCCTCTCTGTCAGAGTGGGGCTGGGAAATCGCGGCCCCCGGGCGGACCTCCGACCGACGGAACGTGCTCGGAACGGGCGGAAACGGAGGCCTGCGTGGAGGGACAGCGTCTCAACGAAAACTAGGTGTGCGTGCGTCTCCCCCCTTTCGGGGCAAGTTTTGCCCCTCTATCAGGGCTGGGCCAGGAAATCGCGGCCTCTGGGCGTGCCTCCGACCGTCGGAACGCTCTCGGAACGGGTGGAAACGGGGGCCTGCGTGAGGGACTGCGTCTCAACGAGGACTAGGTTTTTCCGCATCGCCCTGTATTCGGGGCAACTTTTGCCCCTCAGTCACGGTGGGCCGGGAAATCGCGGCCTCCGTTCGGGCCTCCGACCGTCAGAACCCGCTCGGAACTGGCGGAAACGGAGGCCTGCTTGGAGCGACAGCATCTCAAAGACAACTAGGAATGTCCGCGTCCCCCTCTTTTCAGGGCAAGTCTTTCCCGTCTGTCAGGATGGGGCCGGGAATTCGTGGCCTCTGGGCGCGACTCCAACCGTTGGAACGCGTTCGGTATGGGCGGAAACGGAGGCCTGTGCGGAGGGACAGCGTCTCAAAGAGGACTAGGTGTGTCCACGTGGTTCTCTTTTCGGGGCAACTTTTGCCCCTCGGTAAGGTTGGGCCAAGAAATCGCGGCCTTTGGGCAGGCCTCCGACCGTCGGAACACGCTCCGAACATGCGAAAAGGAGGCCTGCACGGTGGGACAGCATCTCAAAGAGGACTGGGTGTGTCCACGTCGCCCTGTTTTCAGGGCAACTTTTGCCCTTTTTCAGGGTGGATCCAGGAAATCGAGGCCTTTGGGCGGGCCTCCGACCGTCGGAACGCTTCTGAACGGGCGGAAGTGGCGGCTTGCGCGGAGCGACAGCATCTCAAAAAAACTAGGTGAGCGTGCATCTCCCTTCTTTCGGGGCAACTTTTGCCCCTCTGACAGGGTGGTGCCGGGAAATCACGGCATCCGGGCGGGCCTCCGACCGTCGGAACGCACTGAGAATGGGCGGAAACAGAGGCCTGCATGAGGGACAGCGTCTCAAAGAGGACTAGGGGTGTCCGTGTGGCCCTCTTTTCGGGGAACTTTTTCCCCTCTGTCAGGGTCGGACTGGGAAATCGCAGCCTCTGGGCCTGCATCAGAACGTGGAACGCGCTTGGAACGGGCGTAAACGGAGTCCTGAGCGGAGGGTCACCATCTCACAGAAGACTAGGTGTGTCCGCGTGGCCCCCTTTTCGGGGCAAATTTTGCCCCTCTGTAAGAGTGGGGCCGGGAAATCGCGGCCCCAAGGCGGACCCCGTCCGTCGGAACGCACTCGGAATGGGTGGAAATGGAGGCCGGCGAGGACAGACAGCGTCTCAAAGTAAACTAGGCGCGCGTGCATCACCCCACTTTCGGGGCAACTTTTGCCCCTCTGCCAGCGTGGGGCCAGGAAATCGCGGCCTTTGGGCGGGTCTCCTACCGTCGGAATGCGCTCGGAAGCGGCGGAAACGGAGGCCTGCGGGAGGGACAGCGTCTCAAAGAGGACTAGGTGTGTCTGCGTCGGCCTCTTTTCGGGGCAAGTCTTGCCCATCTGTAAGGGTGGAGCCGGGAAATCGTGGCCTCCGGGAGGGCCTCAGAATGTCGGAACGTGTTCTGTACGTGCGGAAACGGAGGCCTGCGCGAGAGATTGCGTCTCCAAGAGAACCAGGTGTGTCC